AATCTTGTTCACTATTCTTCTTATTTAACTTAATGTTTGAGCCTTTTACAATGGCTGTATGATCACAACCACAATTTCCGAAGTAACAGTTGGACAGATTGAGCACAGAGGTTATTTCTGCATGCTGATGTAATCTTCTTTATTACAAAACTAAGCAAATCAGTTCCATCTTTATTATAGTTAATAAATAATTGTTGTCTTACATTTTGATTTGGTTCAGTCTTTTTTTGTTTTTTGTTTAAACATATATGTGTGGATATTTACAGATATTTGTGTATGAAATAAATCAGTTGTTGGGGGAGAAAAATGATGACAGCAGATTTTCTTGTCCACTAATCTTTTCATGGCTAGGCTTTCACGCCTCATTTGCATCTGTTGCATGTGTGTCTTTATCCAGGTGAAGCTGCTATCTAAAGAGACTGAAATTTACTGCCAGGCTCAGCTCCAGGCCACAGAGGCTCTCAGAGCATCTAAGGAGGTCTGTCAGCAGATACAAGCCCAGCTACAAGACAAAGAGCAGGAGATCAAAGACCTCACTGCAGTCAAGGACAACCGGTATGTTACTGTTTTGTGTGTGTGTGTGTGTGTGTGTGTGTGTGTGTGTGTGTGTGTGTCTACATGTGTTTAATGGTGTTCTGGTTGTCTTCTGTGCCAGGATAAAGGAGCTTGAGGATGATCTGAAATGGATGGGGACCAAAGTGAAGAAGTTGGAGGATGAGCACATTCAGAAGTGAGTCTCAGTCAGGCAGACAGAACCACAAAGTGCAGGACAGTTACCAAAGAGTAAGGGGCTATAGGTTATCAGGTGATCCTATCTGTAATTGTCCTCCTCAGTGACCTCATAGTGGCAACTGTAGCTGTTTCTCTTATTCAGAGACTGTGATAGTAACTGTAGTTCCTTTCAGACATGGGATCTGGGAATTTTCAAGCTACTTGTAGCTGTGTAGCATTTGCTTTTCAGGCATTCAGACATAGAGCTACTGTGTGCAAAATTCCCACCAAGACTTCGTTCAAACATAGCAGGACATAGCCGGGTACAGCCCCAACATTCGCACAATATCCAACATCATGCGAGGCAGACACACCGTAATGATAGGGTGAGCAGTACTTGGATTTCCATGTCAGCCCAGTTTCCAGTCATTCCACGTTAACTCATACTGCTAAAATGTATCTTCTCTGTACCAGTTAAAAATAAACTTTGTACTAGCTAGTGGTGTTATGTTCTTTTTACCTTTATGCCAAATTTCACTGCCTGCCTGAAATATACACCATGACCAGCAGTGGTCAAGCGACCTATATAGTAATGAAGAGAGGGAGCTGCGTTAGCAAGAACAAAGCAGTGAAACGGAGAAAGTGCTGTGCTGTAGCACTGTTGTCATCTTGACAGTGCCCTTACTGGCAATTTGACCGCTTCAGTGCAGACATGGAGCCAGTTAGAACATAGCCGGCTATTTGACCAGATAAAATTGGTGGTGACACTTTGCCAGTCTTGTGTGGAAATCTGTTCCCCTGTCAGGATGTGTTTCCCCCTGTAAACTGTGTATCTAGTAGCACCACCCTCTGTGGTTATGGTTAGGATAAGGTTAGTATTCAGATTAGGGTTGGAGGAAACACATCTCATTAGGTGAACAGATCTCAACACAACACCAGCTTTGCAACTTGGGCCATGATCCTAGATATGAAATAGTTGGCAAATTCCCAGCTAGGGGTGCATGTCTGAAAGGGGCTCATTTGTAATAAAAGCCTAATCACCTGTGCATAACACCAAAAGTCCTCTGAATGTCTAAATGTCTTCAACTGTAGATCTGTCTGACTTGTTCTGTCAAGATATGAGCATGCTGTCCAAGCTCTAAAGGAGTGTGAAGCACAGCTGGAGGCTCAGCGTCAGGCCCACACAGAACAGCTGCAGAAGGCTGACAAACACATTGTTGAAATACAGGAGAATATGGAAGTTCTGGCTGCACAGACACACTGCAAACACGCAGAGCATCAAAAGGCCATGGAACAGAAAGATGAAACAATCCACAGGTAAGAGTGACACTGATGAAAAAAGACAGGAAAAAACATATTAGCATTAACTCACGTCTCCCTAGGCTGTTTAAGAGACAGCCTCCGGTTATACCAGGAGGCTGTAAAGGATGCGAAAACCCAATATTTATCTAACATTATTTCAAAAAGCGGCCAGCAGCCAAGAGTTCTTTTCAAAACCATGGACTCAGTCATTAATCCTGCTGGCGCCGTGCCTATCGAGGGATCGGCCCCCTTATGCAATGACTTTCAGAGATACTTCAATGATAAAGTTAGGACCATCAGACAAAATATTCCCAAGTCCTAACCTGATTTACCCCCTGTATGTCAGATGTCTCAGACCTTAGACTCTTTCACTCCAATTTCTCTGCCAGAACTTAAAAAATGTGTTTTACAGTTAAAACCTGCCTCCTCCCCTCTGGACCCCCTTCCAGCTAGGATTACTAAGGAGGTTATTAACACCGTTGGACCTTTTTTGGTCACTCTTATAATCTGCTGCTTAAGGAGGGGTGTGACCCCCGCTGCCCTTAATCATGCAGTAGTGAGATCACTCCTCAAAAAAACCTAATCTCGACCCTTCCCTAGTTTCCAGTTTTCATCCTATTTCTCTGCTGCCTTTTGCATCCAAGGTCATGGAAAAAATTGTTCTCACTCAGCTGCAGTCTCACCTAGACCGCCTATGTGTGGCTGACAAATTCCAATCAGGCTTCAAATCCCGCCACAGCACTGAGTCCGCATTATTAAAGGTCCACAATGATATTACCATGACCCTCAATGCAAAACGGTCCGTTATGTTGGTCCTCCTAGATTTATCTGCAGCTTTTGATACTGTCGACCATGCGTTGCTAGTGTCTAAACTCGAACATCTTGTCGGCCTGAGAGGGTTGGTCTTAAATTGGTTCATTTTTTTTTTAATTAACAGAACTTTTTCTGTTATCATAGATGGTTTCTCCTCTGACACAGCTCCTCTTTCCTCAGGCGTTCCGCATGGTTCGATCCTGGTGCCTCTATTATATCAAGCCACAATGTTCATTTTCATTTTTATGCTGATGATATTCAGACCTATATGCCGTTACTACAGTCTAACCCGAACTCACTTGCTTCATTAGATGATTGCATTTGAGATATCAAGAAATGGCTAGCCCAGAATTTTTTACATCTGAACAAAAGTAAAACTGAATACATGCTCATCAGTTCTGACTGCAGTGGTACCCAGCTTAGGTGTTTCAGCCCCTCCACTCAAAGATTCCGCGAGGAATCTTGGAGTAATATTTGACAGCGGTTTTAATTTTGATAACCAGGTCAGAGCCATAGTCAAGACCAGCTTTTTCCATTTAAGGCTGTTAGCGAAAGTTAAGCCGTTTCTATCACGTCCAGATTTAGAAAAAGCTATTCATGCTTTTATTACGTCATGCCTGGACTACTGCAATGCTGGTCTGTCTCAATCCTCACTACACTGGCTGCCAGTGCAGTGGAGAGTGCAGTTTAAGGTGTTATTTGTTTTTAAGGCCATTCACAGACTCGCTCCGCCGTACCTCTCAGACTTGCTGTCCGTTTATGCTCCGCGCAGAGCTCTGCGATCCTCAGGGCACCTGGCCCTGGTAGTCCCACAGTCGCGATATAAGAAGTGGGGTGACCGGTCCTTCGCTGTCCACGGCTCCAGACTGTGGAATTCTCTGCCGCAGGAGCTCCGGAGCAAAAGCGATTTAGCGATTTTTAAATCAGTTTTACCTTTTTAAACAGGTTTTTGCGTCTGATGCTTAAATGTTCTTTACTATCCCATAGAGGCAATGATATGCTATTTATAATTTTGTATAGGATGTTTTAGGTGTTTTAATTTTGCTAGTTCTTACTGTACAGCACTTTGTGCTCAGATGAGTTGTAAAGTGCTTTATAAATAAAGGTTGTTGTTATTATTATTATTATTAACTGAAAAACTGTGTGTGTGTGTGTGTGTGTGTGTGTGTTTGAAGGCTTCACACAAAGGTAGAAACCATCCAGACTGGCTGGGATGAATACATCACTCACATCTCCAGTGAGATGGTTGTCAAGGATACAAGGATATTGACCCTGCAGGAGAGAGAATCCAAGCTTAGGACAGAGCTGGAAAGGAGCAGGGAGGAGATGAATAGGTGAGAAGTCAGTGAGTAAAGAGCAAAGAGATGGAGAGGAGACTCACAGTGAAAAGATACTAATTTAGGATCAAGAGTCTCCTTTAATCTCAAGAAAACAATGTTTTCTTGAGATTAAAGGTTACAGTGAAGACTTTTACAGGACATTGATTAAAATTTAAGCAAAAAGGGGGGAAATATTATGATTTTGCATTTTTGAAGGTACAACTTGTATGGTTGTATGGCTGGATCTGTGTTGTTTTTTGTGTTTTAAAAATGTCTGTGTGTTTGTGTTGTCAGGTACAAGCAGCAGCTGAGTGCTGGTTTGAAGAGAGAGAGGGCCTTGGAACAGAAGCAAGTCCAACTGGAGCTGGAGTGGCAGAGGCACTATGAGGACATGGAGGCAAAACATTGCCTCACCAATGAGCAGCTAATACAAGACCTGACACAGGCTAGAGATGAGGTCAGCCTCTCTTACATTACACTGCCCCTCACTGCAAAGTGCATGTGGCTAATATTCTGACCCTCTCATGTATATAGCTAGGGAGGACAAAAATTTACACCTCTGAATATAATGTAGTCCAGTACAACACCAGCTTTAACTATGAGCTCAATAATAAACATATAATTGAATTTATACATTTATGACAATTTCACCAAAAGCTGAAACAAAATGAGCTTCATAAACACAGATGTTAAGGCAAAAATGTTGCATTGAACTGCATACAATTGTACAGGTATACCTAATAAATGGCTAGTGAGTATATGTATGTCTATATACCATATCTTCTGACTGTATGGTGAACTATATACTGCACCTAAGATGCTGTGCTTCTTGGTTGGCACACTTGGTTGATCCAAATGAAGGCCCAGACACATGCTTGTCTGACACATTGATTGAGTTTTTGCCTCTTTGCCACACTTGTTTTACACATAGCGTTTGTGAATCCAGAGGCAAAATGCATTAGCCTACATACACTGAGTAAAAGGCTTATTAAATCTGTCTGACAGTAAGCAAACAGCAGCCTTGGTTTGATTTACTGTATAGTGCAGGCTTCCACTTGTTTGGGCAGTAAGTGCATTGATCTTTGTCAGGGTCATGAAGCAGAAATAGAATCACCTTTGCTGCTATTCTGGTTTGATGTAGGTGATACTGTTACTAATACAGGTTTTATGTTGGTTTCTCTTAGGCTAAAGCAAAGCTGAAGGGGAAAGAACAAGAGCTGCAGGACTTGACTGTCTTATTACATTCTGTTAAAAATGAGAGAGACCAGGCAATACAGGTGAGAATACATCCACCTTACACTATACAGACTAATAAAATCATTAACTAGAATTGCCACCATCCCGTCATATTCACAAGAATGGGACAAATGTGAGTTCACTGTGACCTTGAACTTTGACCACCAAAATCTAATGAGTGCATTCTTGAGTTCAAGTGACTGCTTGTGCCAAATTTGAAGACATTTTCTCAAGGTGTTTTTGAGATGCAGTTTTGAGATGTGTTTTCACAAGGATAGCATGAATGTGAGGTCACTGTGACCTTTGACTGTTGACCACCGAAATCAAAGACAAGGCAAGGCACATTTCATACACAGAGGCTATTCAAAGTGCTTTACAGAGGCAATGAATAATAGTAACAGTATTAAAAACAATAAGTTTTCAAACCAGAATAAAATCAGTTAAAACAAAGCAAAGAACATTTTAAAATACATAAAATGAAAATAAAAACAGACAAAATAAAAGGTCTAGCAGTTACAGTGCAGCAGAGAAACCAGTCAAACAAAGGCACAGGAAAACAGCAGAGTTTTCAGTTGAGACTTGAACGTGGCAGAGTTGGGGCACATTTAAGGTCATCAGGAAGTTGGTTCCATGTGTGTGCAGCATAGCAACTAAAAGCAGCTTCACCCTGTTTGGTTCTGACTTGAGGTTCTACTAGCTGACTGCTTCCTAAGGATCTCAGAGCCCTGCTGGGTTTGTATTCTTCAAAGAGATCAGAAGTGTATTTTGGCCCCAGACCACTGAGTGATTTATAAACTAGAATAGACTAGAATAAAATCGATTCTGTAGGTAATTGGCAACCATTGTAAGGATTTAAGAACAGGAAATATGTGCTCAGCACTCCTGGTTCTTAAGTCTGGCAGCAGCATCTGAATGAGCTGAAGCTGTCTAACAGTGTTCTTGGGAAGACTGAACAAAAGCCCAATACAGCAGTCCAGCCTGATGGAGATGAAGGCATGAATTAGTTTCTCTAAATCTTGTCTGGACATGAGACCTCTGAGTCTTGCTATTTGTTTGAGATGATAAAAAGCTGATTTTAGTTATGGTCTTGATGTGACTGGTGAAGCTCCGGTCTGAGTCCGTTATGACACCAAGATTTCTAACTTGTGTTTTTGTCTTTATAGCTCTAGAATCAAGCTGGGCAATAACTTCTCTCCTTACCTTCTTGTTGCCAAAATAACATCAGTCTTGTCTTTTGTTTAACTGAAGGAAATTTTATTGCTTCAGGGTATTTATTTGCTTGGTGACACTTGGTGACAGAGCTAAGTACATCTGAGTTCATCAGTTCATCCTTGAGTCCAAGTGGACTGTTGTACCAAATTTGAAGAAATTCCCTCAAGGTGTTCCTGAGACATCCGTCTGGGCTGAGAACTCCCTCTGGCCAGTCCTTAGTCTCTGGTTTGTCTTTATAGTTTCAGAAGTGGTCTGTATGCTGGGAGTAGCATGAAAGTTGTGATCTGAATTGCCAAGGTGGAGGTGGGTAATGCTTTATATGTCCTTTGTGTAAACAGTGCCCAGCGTGTTTTATGCTCTTGTAGCAAATTGGCTAAACGGTATTTATATCTGCAAGCCTGAAGTTGATTGTTTGTTGTGTCTTGTTGCTTTTCTTCTTTTGTCTCTCCTTTATCCACTCACCCCAACTGGTCGAGGCAGAAGGCCGCCCACCAAGAGCCGGGGTCTGTCGGAGGTTTCTTCCATTAAAGGGAGTTTTTCCTCCCCACTGTCGTCAAGTGCTTGTTCAAGGGGGATTTGTTGGGTTTTCCCTATGTAATAATAGTGATAACAGTAAGGTCTAGACCTTATTTTGTAAAGTGTCCTGAGATGACTTTTGTTGTGATTTGGCGCTATACAAATAAAATTTGATTTGATTTGAAGTTGCCAGCAATAACAAATCAGAGATGTACTGTTTGTTGGTCACTGATGCTGTTGTCCAGCTCTTGCAATGCCTCTGTCACATTATCACTTGAACCACTACACCACACCACTACAATAACAAAATGAACTCTCTTGGCAGATACTGTAGTATTGTGGCATTTCATAATCATAAACCCGGTTTGTGTTGAACAAAGTTTGGACACAGCCACATTTCTTGTTGGCCCATATTCCACCACCATGACTCTTACTGGACAGTGATAATTATCTTTTGTCATGGTAGTACGTTAATCTGTCCAGCTGAATGACCATGTCTGGAATGTTGCTGTGTAGCCACAATTAAATGAAAGCAAGCATGCAGCAGTTCGACACTTCATGCTGAGAAATGGTCCTGTAGCCTCAGCTATGTCACTGGAATTTGCAAAGCATAGCAAGCGTAAACTCTGCAGCTTGTATAAAGGCACTGGAGTCTGGTTGGAGGATCAGCAGTTATAGCTGAAGATACTCTTATTAATAGATCAATAAGAGGCCACAATCACTGAGTGGGTAAGAGTCAGTATGAGCACATCATGTTGTATGTCAGACTACCTTATCTCAGTGACAAATACCACTGCATTTCCTGTATTTGCATCACAATTACAGCTATCAACATTAACGCGTTAACACATGCGATTAATTTAGAAATTCTTCCTGTAATTGCAGCATGGATTGTTACCTGGCTGTGTGGGATAAGGGCACATCAAACGCAGATAATATGATGAATGAGGAGATATCACCCAGTGTGCTGAATGGCAAGTTTCATTATAAAAGCTTCCTGATAGAACTTTGGTATGGTGCCAGACTGATGACTTTAGTCTTTGGCACTGAAAAATAAGTTTTGGATGTGTAGTTTCTCCTTCTTGGCCCCTTCTGCAGTTGTGGGCACTTCCTCTGCCCTGTGATTTAGAGTTCTGATGACTCCCAGTTTGTGTTGAAGTGGATGGTGTGAGTCAAAAAGCAGGTACTGGTCTGTGTGTGTAGGTTTCCGATATACAGTACTTCTACCTTCAGGCTTCTGTCCCCTCCCAAGTGGACTGCACAATCCAAAAAGGCTAGACAGTCATCTCTGGCATCCTCACAAGTGAACTTGATGTTGATGTCCACAGAGTTGATATGCTTGGTGAAAGCCTCTACCTCACGGGTCCTGATGTGTCGTCCACATAGCAGAACCAGTGGCTGGGAGTGATACCAACGAAGGAAGACAGGGCTTTGTCCTCAAATTCTTCCATTTACAGGTTGGCAACTATAGGAGACACTGGGGAGCCCATAGCACAGCCGTGTTGCTGCCTATAGAAGTGACCCCTAAACTGGAAGTAGGTAGTGTTTAAACAGAGTTCCAATTTAGCGCATACATGGTCTGGGGTGAGGTTAGTCCTGTTGTTTAGCATGTCATCCTTCAGCAGTCTCTTCTTCACCGCCCTGACAGCCTCTGTGGTGGGGATGCAAGTGAACAAGGATGTGACATCATATGAGACCATGGTCTCATCCTGGTCCAGTTGCAGTTGTTGGACTTTCCTTGTGAAGTCCTGGGAATTAATTATGTGGTTTCCTGTGTTCCCCACCAAAGGAGCCAGAATGGTGGCCACGTACTTGGCTATGTTGTAAGTCACAGAGTTGATGCTGCTTACAATGGATCTGAGTGGGGCTCCTTCCTTGTTTATTTTGGGTAGGCCATACAGGCAAGGGATGGCCTCCCTGGGGTATAGTCTGTAGTATAGTCACCGGTCAATAACTCCCTCCTTTTCCAGCTTCTGTAAACAGTCTATAACCTTCTTCTTGTAGCCACTGGTGGGGTCCCTCTTCAGTGCTTCATAGATGGTGGTGTCACTGAGGAGGTCGGAAACTCAGTTGACTATCAGACCAGAGAAGAAGAAAAAACATTGACATTGAAAAACACTAGCATTGACAAAAAAATCAGAACATTGTCACTGGAAAAAAACAACTTTGGCATTGAAAAGACAGATTAACAAAAAGAATGTCATTTTTTCAGTATTTATACTTTTTTTAATGACTTTTTTATTTCAATACAAATGCTTCAATGCCAATGTTTGCTTTTTCAGTTACGGTTTTGTATTCAATGCCAAGCATATAGCACTCAGCCACCTGGAACCTGCATCTATATGTAAGGATGCGCTTTATAGACTATAGCTCTTCATTCAGTGCCATCATTCCTAGTAGGCTGATCTCTAAACTGCGGGTGCTAGGCCTTAGCATCTTTCTGTGTTTGTGGATTATGGACTTTATTATTCAAATTGCATACAGACAGTCAAGACTCATCCTGCAGTCTGATGCCCTGAATGGATGTGTGCTGAGCCCTCTCCTGTATTGCTTGTACACAAATGATTGCACCCCTGTGCATCCACACGATAATAAAATTTGCAGATAACACAACAGTCTTAGGTCTGATCTCAAATGAAGATGAGACACCTTATAGGGATAAAGTCTCTAAATGGTAAACTGGAGCAAGGGAAAACAATCTGTCACTGAAAATCAGCACAACAAAAGAACTTATAGATGATGGCATGCAGACCTCCCCTCTCTAGACGGGGGGGGGGGGGGGAAGTGGAGAGGGTTTCTCACTTCAAGTTCTTGAGAGTTCATATTTCTAATGACCTGACCTGGACTAATAACACAATTGCCCTGGTAAAGAAAGCCCAACATCAGCTTTATTTCCTGAGGGCGCTAAGGAAAATTAATCTGTCTAGTCACTTACTCTTGTCTTTCTACCACTGTTCTGTGAAGAGTGTTTTTAACATACTATATAATTACTTGATATGGTAAGTGCTCAGCTGCAGACAGGAAGTCTCTTCAGAGTGTAATAAAGACTGCCCAGGAAATAATCGGTCTGCCCTTGCCCTCATTGGAGGATATCTTCAGAACTTGCTGCCTCCACAGAGCCAAGGACATTTTGAAAGACAATACCCATGCTTATCAACAGCTTTGCTCTCTGTTGCCATCTAAGAGGCAGTACAGAGTTTTAAAGATCACGATTTAAAAATAGCTTTCATCATAGAGCTATCACTGAACTTGATTTTTTTTTTATCTATGCTACTTCAACTATTACATAACTATTTACTGCAATGGTATTTTGTCTACAGTATATTATAGATTTTTTTTTTACATCTAATGCAGCCTACATGTGTGATTGCTGAAGGACAGTGTTCCATTCCACTGGATGTGCAATGACAATAAAGGCATTCTGATATTAGAAACTTTATAATGTAAGAAATGGGTAGCCCGTTACATTTATAAAAAGTATTGAACCAATGGGGTTTACAAGTTTATCAACAAGATGTGTTTTACTTCAGTGTAGCGGATTTGAACTACACTCTGAATATTAATACCTCGTAATAATAATTTTATGTTTGGGGCACCAGGCTTTTTTCTTGTGAGCCACACAGTAAACAAACATTTATTCATTGAGTCCCAAATCTGAAAGTAATGAACCCTCACTTCAGTGACTTATTTACTGAATTAGACCTAAAAAGATGACATAAGAAAGTCAGTTATATAATCTAAATATTTACATATTTACAAAGGGGAAAATGGATTGGCATTGTCAAATGGAGGAGATGGTACATACTGAAACAATGAGATGGCTAGATTGATTAACAACATGCACGCAGGCAGCTGGTAGATGGACAAAGTGTCACGGCAAGCCGCACACCAAAACAGCGACTGGACTCAGTAATAGCCAAGACTCAAACTCAGGTCAGAGAAAGATATTTATTTGACAGAGTATGGAAAGGAAAGGAGGTGGCGAGGATCAGACGCGGAGCTGCCGGCGTGGGTCTCGGGCATTTGGGGCCGCTGAAATGACTGGACCACTGGAGGAGCCGCCCGGGGTCGGAGAGAGGTTTTGGCACTGCGTATAGAGCAGAGAAGGAGATTAAGAGAGGGGACAACAGGCGGATGAGGGTGTGATGAAGTAGAGCACAACACAGGTGACCTGCGTATAGGGGAATGCTGGCTCCGGGCTGGAGAGCGTGTTTAGAACCCAGCGCCGAGCTATGCAGACAGGAACAAGCGCCCACGCTTCACTGACCCAGGCACTTGATACGGACCCCAACCAACGATCGTCGCTCGGCAGCAAGGCCCACGGAGATATAGGCGGCACCAGGCAACAGTTCAAAAAACAAATCAGTTTAGAAAACAAAAACATAAGACACTCCTCCGTCACCAGTTCAAAATAACAGAAGATAAGGTAATGAGTTCAAAATAAACATAAGATCTCCCCAATAGTCAGTTCCAAAA